GAAAGCTTCTTCTGGGTCTTGGAAACTGGTTCGTCTGCTTTCCGCAAGGTTTTCAGTGCACGTCTTCATGCCCTGAACCCTAAACCGTAAACCCCTAAACCCCTAAACCCCTAAACCCCTAAACCCTGTGACATGGGGGGGGGTCATGACCCTGCGCCCCAGAAGGCCTCCCTGTGCCACTCCAGTGACCCAGTGCCCTGGACCCTCAACCACCAAACACCCTGAAGATAATACTAATGATAATAAGAACAAAAAACCTATACTATTTTTTTTTTTGGGGGGGTTCCTTATTTTTTTCAATTGTAGTAAATTTACCCAAAAAGCTCCTATTCTTTTAATTAGCTCCCGGCCCCGACATTAACCAAAAAAAGCGCCTTCGACCCAGGAGCCAGTTGATGATAGAAATCCTTAGCATTACCTAATGGGACCCTAAAACTATGGGAGTTATGGGCATATTCCTTATTATGGGGTAGTGCAGGATTTATACCATCAACCGTATAACCTTACTTGTAACTGTAACCGTATGCTTATGGAAGGCCCTAGTTATGGGGAAGGTAAGCAGTGATTTCCATTGCCCAGTGATCCAGGAGTACGAATATCATTCCTTATGTTTCCTCACAGTTTTCTTAAGTATACTTTCAGGTACACACCCCCCAAAAAGAAGAACCCTCTTATAATTCAGGTTGCTCCTCGAGATGGCGCTGGGATGCTTCCTACTGGTGTCACCGCGCTCGCTTCTGAAGTCCCTCTTGGGTGCTCGTCGGGGGCCCCGAAGACCAAAGCCCCACGACGGCGCGGTACGCCGTAGATCCTAAACCCTTCATCCCCAAAAAACATTAAAAAAAGCCCAAGCCCTAAACCCAAAACCTGGGTGTTGTTTTTATAACTCGATGCTGTTGGGTTCCGGGAATTCGACTGGCTTTTAGCTTCAAGTCGCTGCTCCTGGTCCAGCCTCACAGAAGGAAGTCTCTTCCTGGTTTTTAGGGTTATTAGTCATACGGATAGTTCTCTGAGTTCGGATCTCCGTTTAGGTCCCCCCAAAGAGTTCTTCAGCCATGCAATAGGGACCCAATTTAGAGATCTACCCATATCGTTTCTATGGGTAGGAGTTTAGAGCGTTACGGGCTAACGTCACGTTATGTATGATGCTACATTATGAATATCCAAATGACCCTCACTCATGGACTGCGCCAGGTGAGCATCCCAAACTCCCGAACCCGAAACCCTACACCTCCTCGACCCAACCCCCAAACCTTAAGAGTCCTAACCCCCAAACCTTAAGAGTCCTAACCAAAATGCAAAGCCCCTGAACCCTGCCCGGAAAACCCCTACCGGCATAGATGCTGCGCCAGGTCAACATCCTTTACAACTATGCCATGGCTGTGTGCTTGAATCCGGGGGTGCCCCCGGAGTTTCCAGGCGCCCGAAAGCAACCAAACCCGAAGGCCCTAAACCCTAAACCCTAAACCCCAAACCCTAAGGCCCTAAACCCTAAACCGGGTCCGAAGCCCTTCGCGCTAAACCCTACATCTTGGGCAGACGGAAATAAGGGGGGCTTCGAATTGAGAAGCCCTAGGATCTAGGCCCAGACCGTAGCATTGTCAAGGCAGCCTCCAACAACAGAATGTTTACGAATATCATTCCTGAGGATTTCATATATAAGTCTCCATGCCCCCCTAGATTTGTAGCTTCTTGTCTAGCTCTGCTGCAGCCATTGCAGTGATACGATAAACTTAAGCCTCTCAAAAAGAAACCCTCAGACTCCTTGAAACAACAGAGTAAACCACTGGTGGCTGGTTCACTTGAGAAAGGGGCGGATTACTTGGTAACCCTTGGAAGTCCCCTAAACCCTAAAACCCTAAAACCCTAAACCCTAAACCCTAACACCCTAACACCCTAAACCCTAAAGCCCTAAAACCCTAAACCCTAACCCCTAACACCCTAACACCCTAAACCCTAAGAGGGGTAACCGCTGGAAGTCCCAAGGGTTTCTTTTGTCGCGCTATGCCCTCTCGACCCCTCTCGAGTTATGGCGAGTCCTTTTTTTACAGCTCCAGCCCCTGTGGTGTAGCTTCCGTAGCATCCACAATACCCACAACAGCACGATATCTGAAATGGCCATCCTCTGCCTAAACACTTAGACACTGGAACCCCAAGCACCGAAACACTAAGCCCTGGAGAAAGCCAGGGAAAAGCCTTGCAGAACGCCTATTCCGAGCCTTATAGCAGCCCTTCAACAAGCCTTGCATTACCACAACCCCGAAACGTCGAAAACCCCACGAGACCCCAACATCCTAAAGGCTTTTCAGCCCGCAAACCCTAAACCCTCCACCCCGAGCCCTAAACCCTGGGGTTTCCCCAAAACGAGAAGCCCCGCTGAAGTCCTCCAGGCGAGGCGCTTGAGAGCAAGGACGGCGAGCTCGGGGACTATGCCCCGGCACCCAAGCAGTGCCACAAGCTGGATCCCAAGAGCTCTTTCCCTTCTGGCACCGTACCAGTGTTTCTGTTTAAAAGACTATGATTATGATTATGATCCTTCATATCATTACTGTATCTATTCTTTTGGCTATGATTAGGATGGTTATGATGATTATGCTTATGATGAGTATGTTGCTGATGATGATGATGATTATTAATTATTGTTCTCTTATCATTATGTATTGCTACTGTTAAGCTGGTAGCACTACTGTTCTGCTGTTATTGTTGATATTGTGCTTACAGTATGTTCACGATGGCTCATGTTACTATAGAACATGACAGTTCTTGCAATTTTTATTCTTGTTTTTTCTCGTTCTTATGACCCTACAACGATATGCTTTTGAATTCAGGATGTGTTTTGTAAGCCGGACTAGTTCTTCTGTGGAGGTTTAGCTGGCTAAGGCTGGAGGATGTTTCCAGATGCTGTAGGTGTATATCACCCCATGCCGGTTCCGCTCGCTTTGGCCGCTCTTTTTTGCAGCTTGCGGTTTAGCGATCCAGGCCCGAAGGTTTATGGGCAGCTATGACTTTCCAACCCTGAAGCATCAACCCTGAGCCCTAAACCCCAAACCCTAAAACCCAAAACCCTAAAACCCTAAACCCCTAAAACCCTAAACCCCAAACCCCAGAACCTAACCCGGGGCTTTCACGCGGGTCCTTCCTGGGGTGCTCTCGAATCTGAGTTCTGCAGCAAGGACCCCTTCCGAAATGCACTGCTAAGAAGGGTCTGACAACAACAACAACAAGCAGAACAGCACCAAGCTGTAAACCTGACGAATCCCGGACTCTCGTGCCCTGAACCTCAAGCCCTACTTACAGGATCAGGGAGGATGAAATCTCTAAGCCCTAAAGCCCCAAACCCTAAAACGGAGGTGCTTGAAGCTGAAGCCTCCTCGCGCGCACCACTGCAGTGCACAGCGCTTGGGTCCAGGGAGCTCTGGGGCCTTGTTGCAGTAAGCCCACTACCCGCCTTCATTAAGGAATTCATGTAATAGCCGGAGAGACCTAATTGCCGTTTTGGGGTTCCTTATCATGGTTTCTATACATAGTTCCGTGTAGATCTTTTCGGTTACAGGTATAGTTTAACTCATAATCTGTGAACCTCTTACGATTCAGGGCCTATTCCTTAAGCAAGGGACGTTGGGCTCTCTGCGTTTGTCTTTCCTGCCTGTTCTTTGGGTTTGTTTGGGGCCTCTTCGGTTGATTAATTAGTGCGTTTTGTTTGTTGGATTTGTTTTGGGCTTCCAAGGTTAACGTACTTTGTTCTGTTGGTTTGTGCTTCTTGTACCTTGGTGTATGTGTTTCTTTGGGGGGTTGTTTTGCACCTCCACGGTTTGGTTTGAAAGGTTTGGAAGGTTTGGGGGTTTCAGTGATTGGCATCTGTGTGGGCGTCTTCGAGGCCCTGGGGCTGTCGATTAGGGTCAGGCGACTGTGGATTTTGGGTTTGGGACGTTTTGGATTTCGGGAAAGATGCGGGCTAAGTAGTTTTATCCTGGTTTACAAGCTGGCTCATGACCGATTTGTCGCATGCTCTGGCCCCAGACTCCCTAAACCCTGAACCCTAAACTCTCAACACCCTAAACCCTGAAACCCTTAAACCTAAACTCAACGCCTTAAACCCCAAAGGCTAGACTCAACATCCTGAAATGCAGGGACTGCCACAGCAGTACTGGATCCGTTCTTATTCCCGCCCCCATGAGTTCTGGTTTCGTCACACCCCGCCGGGGCGCTTTTTGGGGTCCGGGATTCAAGGTCTGAGTCCAGTCCTTGAGGACTTTGAGCCCTTCGATTGGTTTTCAAGTGGGCTGTCAGCCTACTCATCAGGTCCTCCCCGAAATCTCAGCCAGAGGGTTCGTCGAAGGATGAAGTTTCTTTCGAAAGGCCGTTTAGGGTTTAGGCTTTAGGGTTTAGCGGCTTTTCAGGGTCAGGGGACCTAGGCACAGAGGGGCTCTCGCTGGGAACCTTATAGGCACTCCAGGGCTGAGGCTCTCAAGACCAAGCGAGCGGGCATCAAAGGAGCCCTGAGCCCCAACACTTCAATTGGGGTTCAGGGTTTAGGGTTTAGGGCTTAGGGTTTAGGTTCGGGGTTTAGGGTTCAGGGTTCAGGTCTAGGGCATACCTTAAGCCTCCAAACCCCAAAGAGCTGCGCTCGCCAAGGTCTGCAAGACCTGCGTGATGAAGATGGATCATCATTGCCCGTGGATCAACAACTGCGTCGGCATAAACAACTATCGGTGCCCCTCCGGCCTGAGGTTATAAACCACCCTAAACCCCAAAACCCCTAAACCCTAAACCCCTAAACCCCTAAGCTCTAAACTCAACCCCTAAACCCTAAACCCCTAAACCCCAAAACCTAATATGCCAAGAGCCGGAAGGCCTCCAGGAAGAGGCCGCTGCTTGTAGAGTCTCTTTGATGGCTGTGGCTTTGTTCCCTACGTGCCTTGGGCCCTAAGCCCTAAACCCTCAATGGTTCAGGGGTTTAGAGGTTTAGGGCTTAGAGTTTCAGGGGCTTAGGGGTTTTTGGGTTTAGGGCTTAGGGTTTTAGGGCTTAGGGCTTGTAGGGTTTATAGGGGCAAGCCCCGAGGTACTTCTGCCTGTTCATGTTCTTCCTGGCCATGCGAGGACCTGAGCTTTGAAGGGATTCCGAGCTGTTTGCTTTCACGCCCTGGACCATCGGTTTAGGGTTTAGGCCCAGTTTAGGCAGTTTAGGGTATGGATGGGGCACCGTTTTTGGGGAACTCCAAGCCCCAAAAAACCTGAACCCGGAAACCTCCACGCAGCCTTCGACCTCCCTAACGCCGCACTCCTTCTTATTATAAGCGCTTCAACTGTAAGGGGGCATCCTCTTAAGAGTCCGAAGAAAGGCTTAAAACTCGAGGGGTTAGCACAAACGAGCGCATGAAAGAAACAAGAAACCAACCTCTTACAGGAAGTCGTGTGTCGATCTGTGTTCAGAGGCAGACTTTCCTAGCACCGCAGGCATGCGTGTGCATACTTGTGCAGGGTTTAGGATATGCTTTTGTGGGAGCTTTCCTGCGAGCTTGTTGCGACGTTTAAGGCAAAGGCGAATTCGGCCCGAAAGGACCATGGAAAGGCACCAAAGGAGCGTTCATGCATGAAGCGTGGAGGGCACCGGCAAGTTTGGTTTGCCAGAACACAGTGAGGTAAACCCCCACACCCCTATATACGTATGTATGTATGTATGTATGTATGTATGTATATATATATATATACACATACAGCGTAAACCCTACAGCGTCCTAAACCCAAAATCCTAAACCCCAAACCCTAGAGACCACATCCGAGGGGCTGCCTGTACTACACTGTCTTGGGCTCTCGCCTCTTCTTCCAAGCGCTGGTCCCGGCCAGGCCTTTGACGAACACGCCCGAAGTTCTCCGCCCTTTTTTTTAGGGGGCCCGGATAATCCACGGTTTAGTTTTTAGGGTTTAGGGTTATGAAGGCTGCTGTGGTTTTTCCTAAACCCTAAACCCTAAACCCTAAAACCCTAAAGAGGGGGGGTTCCTAAGGCTTTTACGGTTCTTTTGAGCAGGGGTTTCTAGGAGTTTCGAAGAGGGCATCTTCCCTTACAAGTTGGGGTCTCTGGGTAACGAGCTGCACGCCGGGTGCTGCCACCGAAACCCTAAACCCTAAACCCTACCTAAACCCGAAGCCCTGAACCCTGAACCCGGAGCCCTAAATACCGGGATGCAGGGCCCCAACAGCCTTAAATTAGCCTTAAACCTTAAACCTTGTGTTTTGAGGAGAGCCTTTGAAGGCTTTCTCACCCAACATTTCCAACATCGGGAACGCACCTGAAATCATATTAGGGATCCTAAACCCTAAACCCCAAACCCTAAATCCTAAACCCTAAAACCTACTATGTTTTTAGGTATGTTTTAGGAAACCCCAAACCCTAAATCCTAAACCCTAAATCCTACTATGGTTTTTAGGGTATATATTTTTTAGGGGCTTCGGAAGGTCTGGGCATCTTCCGCAGGTCTGGGATGGAACTAAAAATAGCTTCCAATGCCATTTCTTAGAAGTACTGATTGTAAGTATAGTATTGGTAGTAGACTATACCCCAAAACACTTCTAAGCAATACGGCCCCTTTTTGTAAACCTTGCACAAAAAACCGCGAGCCTGAAGCCCTGGCACCAGGAAAAGGACAATCAAGCTCAAGTTTGAGGACATCCAGCCAGAAGCTGAGATGAAAAGTACTACGGTATGACATCGTGCATAATACTGGGTTACCGGTTTATTATAGAAGTATAGCATACTGGTCTATGACAGCATACGTTATACATACATATATATATATATGCATGCACACATACACGCATACGCACACACACATATTTATATATGCATATTGATTGAGCGATCTTGTTATGACTAGACGATGGGGTTTGGCGCGCACACGCACCTACCTACATAGAGTTTGTTTCACCTCGGCACGGTCGACGCCCTTTGTGCAGCACACAAACTTTTAATGTCTTTCGTGCAGCCGTTTGAGTTGGGGGTCCGTAGTTTTCGTGCGTCACTGTCACTGCCTGTTTCCATGGCCATGGAGCGTGCGTTTTAGCATTCCAGGCATACGGGAATATTTGTGCTGCTTATTCGCGGGTTGGCATGTGCATGTTCTTTTTCCGGAGAGTGGAATTCTCTGTAAAGTCTGCTGCCCGTAGACACAAACATTTTGAGATATTATCCTGGAAAGAAGCGGGGGTTGGGTCAACATAGCGGGCCTGGAATAATTGCCAAAATTGTTTCGGAGGGGTTGCCGTTCTATAGTTATACTACAAATACCCCGCAGCCCGATTCGAATGTAACGGTGTCTACATAGTGCTTGCCGTTTTGGGGTGGTGGTGGAGTGGTCGTGGTCCTGTCTGAGAAGCTGTGTGTCTACGAGCCCTTGCGAAAAGGCGCCAGAGAAGGAAAAGGTAGAGCCGCAGGTGCACCCGTCAAACCCTAGGCTTCGTAACGAGCCATGAGCCCTTTAAAGCACAGATCCCGGGCCAGGGACTCGAACCTTAGATCCGACAGCGCAGGTGTGTCACCCTCTCTTGGCTGGTGAGTATCTGCATCTTCTGTGCGCAGGGGCCTGAGATCCTGGATACGAATTTTGCAGATTTACCTTCGAGTTGAAGCCGACTCTCGCGAGTTGCGCAGGATCTGCCTTCTTGGCGGCTTCCACTTGTTCCTTGAACGCACTTGGGCACTTTGCTAAGTTACACCGGGTCCATCCTGAGGCCTAAACCCAAAGTCCCTAAAGACCCACCACCCCTAGCTTAGCTTACAAATCCTTCCTTGGAGCCTTAATGCACGGACCTTTCTTAGAAAAGGTGTCCCAATCTTTGGTCGAACGCGCCAAAAAAGTTTTAAAGCCAAGACTTGAGAGTTTCAGATTCTCTTGACACTTTGCGTGGCCTTCCGTCAGGTACCTCGTTCTCACCAATCAGACCACCATCGAGTTTCACACGAACATGGCTGGTCGACAGATCGCACGCAAGCGGGGTGAGATACACAGGACCATCTAGCATCCCCCCGAAAGCCCTCAAACCCTTAAAGCACTACACTTCACCCTACATCCCTCGTAGAGTCTTAGAGCCCTTCAAGGACTCGAAATCCCCCGGAAGAGAGCGTCCCCTGAAGAGAGCGCAGGAACCCATACGACTTGGGCATGAGCCGGAACTTCCAGCAGGCTGGGATTCTTCCTTGCGTGGCAGGGGTTTCGCTGCGGCCAAACACCTCGAACTCAAAGCCCTAGAGGCCAAAACCCTAAGCCGGAAACGCGAAGATGGAAAACAAGAGAGCCCTGTAACACCGAACCCTGCCAGCCCTTGCAAAGCCTTGCCTGAGCCTCGTTGAGGCTCGTATCACAACACTTCTAACGGCCTGTAAGCCCTTCGCAACAACACCTTGCTCCCAAAAAACTCCGAAGTTGTGGTTTTTGAACCAGTTCCGAGTCACACCCGTCAGAAGACTTCATTAAACAAGCCTGTATCTCCTCCCCGAAGAGACCCGCATAAAAACGCCTCCAGGTGTTCGGGCCGAACACATTCTTTGGCTTCCGCTGGCTCCTTCCCTACGTGGCTAGGAGGCCGACAACTTGACTCATGTCTGGGGTTCCTGTTTAGGCTTCAGGGTTTGGGGTTTAGGGTGTAGGATCTCTTCTAAAAAAGTCTTATCAGGGGTTCCTACACAAAGAGGGGCTCCAACACGAAGGGAGGGTCTCCTAGAAGGCCAGAAGAAGGGGTGGATGGGTAATCATAGGGATTCCAATACAAGGCTACTTCTGACTGCTCAAGGGCCGGAGCCGAGGCTTTGGGAGGCCAAGACCGTCTGAGGCTCCGCAAACCCGCAAAGCCAGGCCGGTGAGGCCAAGCGCCCAAAGCCGACAAGCGATACACCCCCAAGCGCTTCAAGCCCCTCAACCCTCAACCCTCAACCCTCAACTCTCAACCCCAAGCCCGAACAGATAAGACCCCAACCCCATGCGTTAATCAACCCTAAACCACCCTAAACTGGCCCAAAACGCCCCCAAAAGTTAAAAGCCCAAAGCCACCTGATGCATCGCCAGGCCTACCTGCAACGGGCTCGAGTATCCAATGGTGCTAGGACCCCGAGGCGTTCGGGGCTTTCGGTTTCGGTTTAGGATTGGGTTGAGGGTTCAGGACTTCGCGGGGTTTTTGGGGTCAGGGTCTACGGTGTAGGTTCTAAACCCCTAAACCCTAAACCCCAAGCCCCAAGCCCTAAACCCTAAACCCGAAAACCTAAACCCTACACCCTCAACCCTAAACCCGGGCTTACAACCGGTGTGTTCGTGCCCCAGCGTCTCAGGGCCTTGACCGAAGCCCTAATCTCGAGCACCCTAAGGGATACCCCCCCTAGGGGTTTAAGGGGTTTAAGGGGTTTAGGGTTTGCGGGTTTAAGGGTTAAGGGTTTAGGGTTCAAGGAGTTTCTACTACATAATTGTCCAAAGCCCTAAACAAGCTCCTAGCTCCTGATGGGACGTAGATAGATGCATACGCATCTTGAAGAACTAAGTGAATCAGTGCGTATGTAAGCAAGCAGATCCTTGAACAGCAAGAATCGCCGCAGACTCACACGAACCGCTTCAACATGTCGTGTGTAGGTTGCTTGGTTTGTATATGATGTGTGCATATCTGTCTCCCTCCCTCTGTCTGTCTGCCTGTCTGCCTGTCTGCCTGTCTGCCTGTCTGCCTGTCTTGTCTGCCTGCCTGCCTGCCTGCCTGCCTGCCTGTCTGCCTGGCTGTCTGTCTGTCTGTCTGTCTGTCTGTCTGTCTCTCTCTGGCTCTCTTGTTGTCTGTCCGGTAGTGTCCGTCCTGCCCTGCCCTTACTGACGTATGTGCGCATTCATGTACGATTCTATACATCGCTGTATCATATGTACATATCTCGTCGTGTAAATTGTTACATGAAGTAGAGATGCTCCTAGTCATCTTCTTGCAACTTGCATCTCGTTTACACACCTTTTTCCTGCAGTGTGCCGTGCAACCTGAAAACCTCAAATCCCAAACCCGAAACCCAAAACCCTAGAATCCTTGAACCCCCAAACCCCAAAGCCTGACAACCCGCCCAAAAAGAAACTCCCAAAATCCTAAGCCCTAAAACCCAAGCGGCTTGGCGCAGCTGAGGTCCGACTTCCGCGCCTGACTGTAGACGCCCAGCCTGAAGCGATGCCAGCTTTTTCCGGAGCCGGAGACCCTTCAAAGGAGGAGGAATAGACTGTAGAGTAAGGAAGGCATCTCAAGTGAGGACTATTCCTCAAACAAGAGGCCTTGGTACTGAGACGTAAGGTATCTATTCCGTAATAGTATGATATCGTAAAGTATATATATATATATACACACATATATATATATATCTATATTCTCCTTAATCTGAAGAAGGCTTATTCAGCTTATTCCTTAATCAAAGGGTATTGGGCAGCAAGGGAGCTGGACCTGCCATCTGAAGCTTTCAACGCAATGCCCGGTTTTGTGGGGTTTGGTGCTGTTTCGGATTTGGTGGTTTAGGGTTTCGAGTTGAGGGTTCGGTGCTGTTTCGGATTCGGGGATTTAGGGTTTAGAGTTTAGGGTTTGGTGCTGTTTCGGATTTGGTGGCTAAACCCGCAATGAACAATGATAGAACCCTTTGTAGGAGCCAGCACCCTACGTCCTAAACCCGATAACCATCCTGATACCTATACCCTTAACAACAAGTGTGTGTTGCGGCTTCGGATAAAGGCCGATCGTTTTTCACCGCAGGCAATCGTTTTGCGTCCTGGATCGAGAATCGCTCGACCGTTGGAGTGCTTAAATCCTGGACAACACAGGGGTATAGGGTTTAGAGTTCAGGGAGCATAAGGTCCCCCTAAACATACTCATCATTTCACATGGGTTTTTGCAGGTCTGGGTGCGCAGTCGCTCGAGGCATTGGAGATCCCATGTGGTACTGCAGAAGCAGGGCTTAGGGTTTAACTATTGAGGCCCCTGCATTCTGGAACCCTTACAGTGATCCTTGAAGATCTCTTGAAGGAACCCTTAGGGAAACTTTAACATACTGTAGGAACCTGAATAGGAAACCCTGACCCTATAACCTCCATATATTAGGGATTAAGAACCCCAAATAAAAGGCCCAGGGTTTCTTAATCAGGGTCCTAGATTTACCTTTATCTTATTCTCGAAGGCTCAAGGTGCCGATGTTTGATGTTTGATGTGACCTCAGCTCCACCAAGAGTGTCGCATCTGCGCCCCCCTTAAGGGCCCCCTTAAGGGCTCCTAGAACGAGTTCTTCCTTTAAGGGTTCCCTTAAAGGGATCCTTTAAGGGTTGGCTGTCAGCCACCTCACTGATGGAACCCCTGTAGCACCCTGCACAAAAAATTTAAACTCCTACGTTCTAGAACCCTCAACCCTAAAACCGCCTAAACCCTAAACCTCAAAACACTACAATCCCCAACCCTAAAAACCCTGTTCACAACTTGGCCTGCAGCTCAAAAATCTCCGCGGGAGATGTGTTGAAAGGGATGATCGACAGCCGGGCCGGCCTACCGCAGGCCTGAGCTCCGGCCCCTACTTGGAGGGTCATGGGTAGTTATAAGTGGGGTTATAAGTAGGGTAGCTGTAGTTGCAACCCATATTAGGGGACTTTTTCCCATACTTATAACTACCCATGAACCTCCAAGTAGAGGTGATCATGCGACTGACACCAGGACTCCTACGCCTAAGACCCGAAACTTAAACTCACCTCTAGGCAGGGATTACCTACACGCATACAAGTGTGCACTGGTTTATGTACACATGCATGTGTTTGCATGAAAAACTTACATATTGAAGATTTCTTCATCGATCTATCCATCTATCGATCTATCTATCGATCGATCTACCTACCTACTTACCTACCTACCTACCTACCTATCTACCTACCTATCTATCTATCTACTTACCCACCTACCTACCTACCTACCTACCTACCTACCTACCTACCTACCTACCTATCTACCGATCTATCTAATCTATCTATCTATGTATCTATCTATCTATCTATCTATCTAATCTATCTTACCTATCTTATCTACCTTATCTATCTAATCTATCTGTTCTGTCTATCTATCTATTTATCTATCTATCTTTATGTGTATATATTTATGTTTATGTATATGTATCTGTATACCTATATGTTCAGAATCTATGTCTATGTCTATTTATACCTACATGTACATCTATATCTGTCTCTATATCCATATCTATGTCTGTATCTAGATCTGGACCTACATCTTTATCCTACCGATATGTATACCTATACTATGTCTATATCTTTATACAGACAATTCCATAAGTACCAACAAGCAAGAGATAGATAAGATACAAGTATGGAGTATGTAATGATTAGGGAAGGAAGGAAGGAAGCACCACACTGAATCAAACAAGCAGTTACAACAAGTTGTAAACATTGTGGACATATCTGTCCACACAGATTGGTAGATAGATAGAGAGTTCGGTATGTACATGTATGCATAAGTATGTATATATATATACACATACACGTATATGTATCTACGTATATATGTGTATACATATGTATATATACATACATACATACATATACGCATAAATATATACCTACACATATATGCGCATATACACATACACATGCATATATACACACATATATATACATACACATTCACATACACATACACATACACATGCACATGCACATGCACATGCACATGCACCTGCACACATGCACACATGCATACATACATACATACATACATACATAGATACATAGATACATACATACATACATACATACATACATACATACATACGTACATACTGACATACTGACATACTGTGTGTCTAAAGTCTACATATATAGGGGCAACTTTAAGGCGGAAGTAAATACTATTTGGGCACGTGTACCCCTGGGGAGAGTTAACACCTGTGTTTCACGCAGCTCGGCTTTTTGCTGACAGGACCTGACATGTATGCAGGAAATCCAGCACTTTAGGGTCTAGGGTTTAAGGTTTAGGGTTTAGGGTTTATGGTTTAGGGCTTATGGTTCAAGGTTCAGGGTTTAGGGTTTAAGGTTTAGGGTTTAGGGCGTATGGTTTAAGGTTTAGGGTTTAGGGTTTAAGGTTTAGGGTTTAGGGTTTAAGGTTAGGGTTTAGCGCTTATGGTTTAAGGGTTAGGGTTTAGGGCTTAAGGTTTAGGGTTTAGGGTTTAAGGTTAGGGTTTAGCGCTTATGGTTTAAGGTTTAGGGTTTAGGGCTTAAGGTTTAGGGCTTCATGACTGGCTGTTGGAAGGTGAGGGAGCCTGAAAGGTTGGCAAAGAAGGCTTCGATGTAGATGGGTGCGAGCCTCTGACATGAGTTTGGGGGCCTTAATTGGAATAGGGTTTATAGGGTTTAGCGTTTAGGAATAGGGTCTTGGTGTAGAATATAGCATACAGTGTAGGACAATCGGGGGGTCTGAATGAGTAGCTTAGAACAGGGTTCTGGTGTATACTATAGCCTAAATATATTGGAGCAGCGGCCCTTGATTACTAATAACTGAACTCTAAAGGGTTTGGGGGTATAAAACAGAATAAACTGTGTAAAAAGAAGCCTCAGGAAAGTACAGGCAATTTTTCGGGCTTCCATATTACGCTCTTTTTTCACGCCGAGTCAGGACACAAAGCCCGTCGGTAGCCCGACCTCTTGAAGGGTTGCTCTAGTCTGCTTGAGATCTGCCTTGAGCAGAAATCGATAACAGAGCCGGCCGTGGAATTTTAGGGTTTACTGTTCAGGGTTTTGCCCTAAACACTCTAAACCAGTCTGCACCCTAAGCCCTAAGCCCGTGCCTTACAAGCACGTGTCCGAGGAGCCCCTCTGCGTCATCACTCAAGCCACTGTCACCGACCTTCCAAAATCCCTTACTCAAGGAAGATACCCTAAATTATGGTAGGTTTTTAAATGTATTTTCCCTTTATTCAGGGATTTTGGAAGGTCTGGGATACTCTCCCAGGCCCACCCATACTCAACCCTAAAACTAGAAGCGTGCACCTCAGGGTTTTTAGGGCTTTAGGGCTTTGTGGTTTAAGGGTTTAGGTTTAGGGGGATTAAGCTGCGGACTTGTTTGATGAAAGGCCTGCTACCAGGATCCCACGGAGCAGCATTAGCTCGGAGGCCTCTTCGAGAGGCTTCCGGAGGAAACTTCGAGAGGCAAGTCCATCTCGAAGCGCTGGCGGAAGGAGGCCCTTTACCCAAAATGACACGGACCCTATACCCATGGGCCCCATTCTTTTGAGGATTACCTTATAGGATCCTAACCTATGAACCACAAGCAAGGCACTACCATGGAGCCTATGGGTATAGGGCTTGGGCTCGATGTTAAAGGAGCCCGAACCCTGTCAAAACCCTGAGAAGTCCGCATAGAAGCCCAACCAAGATCCTAGAAAAAATCGGACGAAAACGAAGGAACCCAATGAGTAGTTCTCTAAATTCGGGTCCCTTTGAGGGTCTTTTTTTAAAGGGTGCTGTATTGTCTTGGAGACCTAAATGCATCTAAAAGGGGACCGGAATTTAGAGAAGTACCCTAATACAACCCCTATCCTTCACGCCAATCCGCACCAGTTGTCTGTTGGGTTCAGTGAGCCTCCCTCGGTGCATTTACGAGGAACTCTGCACCCTAAGCCATAACCTATTAACCGGAAGTCATGGGTTCAGGGTTTAAGGGTCTAGGGTTTAGGGTTTGGGGTTTGGGTTTAGGGTTTAGAGTTCATGGTTTTGGGGTCTAGGGTTTGGGGTTTGGGTTTAGGGTTTAGGGTTCAGGGTTTTGGGGTCTAGGGTTTTGGGGTTTGGAACCGTAAAGCCTGAACTAGCACCTAAACCCCGAACCACAAACCCCCAAGCAACCCTCAGCCTAAACACCCGCCCTACACCCTAGATGTACATCCAACCCCAAACCCTTAAACACCATGAACCCGAAACCCAACTCCACTTTAATACCTGAACCCTACATGGCATAAGCCCTTTAGGCAGCTGGCTTTCATCCTGATTCGAGAGACTATCTCGCCATCCCTGCGGTGGTGGAAGGTTGATGAAGGCTTAGAGTGCGGGAGCTCAGGGCTTAGATGGACCCCAAGAAACCTACATTCTTTCGGGTTCCTCTTTACACTTGGTACAGGTAGAGTTTAGGAATGTTTCGGATGAATTTTTTAAGGAACAGGTTGGAAGACCAAATGTCTAGTAGTGTGTTGGCTCGGGCGGAGAGGTCGTGAATCTAACGTGGAGCTGCTGAAGCTTTGCACGTTTCTTTTTCCTGTGGCGCCCGAGACTCTGAACCGGGAAAACAAAACTGTAAACCCTAAACCCGGTTTAGGGTGTAGGGTTCCCTAGAACCCGCAAGTGAAAAGGTTGAGACTGGGGCTATAGGGCTAGGGTGGAGTGCCGGCGGGGGTGCGGCCCCTCTGAGCTTTTAGCCTTTCATTCATTAAAACACCCCAAGACGGCTGTTTCCTCAACCCCAACCCTAAACGCCTAATCCCCGAGCCCAACCGCCTCCTAAGGCACAAAGCCCCGAAGATCTTACACCCCAACCCCTAAACCCAAGTGCGTCGTAGCATGCGAACGTGTCTCTGCGACTGCACGCATAGACATAGACCCCTAAACCCCCACTGTAAACACTAAACGCCTAAATACGCAAAACCCAAGATCCCTAAACACCAGAACCCTAAATCCCTAAGCTGATCTTCACACAACGTGCTTAGGCACAAGCTAGCAGCTAGCGAACACACGCGTGTTAAGAGTCCAAGTCGTGTGTCTCGGAACCCGAAGGACCATGGTAAGAAAGAACCCACAAAACAGTTTTATAAGGGTGCCGTATGAAGATGACAAAACAGGGTTTACTAAAGGCTTCATACTCATACGGATTCCATAAGGGCTCTATAACAGTGCTTTGTACGGTTTTGTGTTAGTCGGATCCTTGTTCTGATCCACTGGAACATCTGCCTCAAGGATTTGGAACAAGCACAATCTCTGCAAGAACCCCCTGCAGTGTTCAAAGGTTACGTGGGGCCTGCATCTTTGCAGGTGGACCGTCCTCGCCCTCGCCAGAAACATAATCTTGAGGCATATTCGCAAAGCCTGGATGACTCTACCTTCTCCACAGCCCTTTATTCTTCGGCTGCACTCAGAAGCAACTTAAAGACTTGAAGGAAACAGGCAAGGACAACGCCACCCTCTCGCAGAAAAAAACGTCATCCACAGGATTAACGAGAATAGACGGCTGAACTTCCCCGCCCATGCAATGTTGTTTTTGCATGCCTACCGTGCACCATGACGCCAGGGCCCCAGCCGGCAGCACTTTCATAGCCTTCACGAGCGCCCTCAGATGTAACGCCCCGGCAGGAAAGGCGCGAGTGGGCGAGGTGGGGATGCATGTCGTGAAGGCAGTCAAACTCCTAAAATCTCGCGTGCCAGGAAGCCATAAGCAGGGGTGTATAGGCATAGGGCTCATCGGGCTTGGGGTTCAGCTTTTCTCGAACATCGTCTTCCTCATTGACTGTAAAACCTGGAGATAGTCTGAACTACTCCGTCAACGACGAAGCCGGGGTTTTCGTTGCGGTGTTCGCAACTCAAAACATGCACCAATTACTGTATCCCAAAGGATCCTAAGTACTTAATTGGGGGACTCTTCCCAAGTCAGAATAGCTATTCCTCATATAGAAACCCTACATTCTACTACGGAGGTACTTCGGACCCTTTGGGCAATTACTGTATGGCCTCGCAGATTCTGGCCTCTTCGAGATGGAGACTCCAGTGGGTACTTCCTACTGATTTAGGAGCTGGGGGCTGCTATTTTAGGGTTTAGGGTTTGGGGTTTGGGGCTCGGGGGCTTGAGCCTTATCCGTGGATCCAAAAAACCTACCATTTTGAGGGCTCTACCGTGTAATCAAGGGGTCAGAACCTACCATTTTGTAGGGTTTAGGGTCACAGGTAAGATTTAGCTCTAGGCCCAATGGGTCCTCGGTGCTGTTATGGGGGAGACTTTCCCAAATCACAATAACAATTCCTTATATAGAAACCCTACATTCCACGAGAAAGGTACTTTGGACCCTTTGGGAGGATAAGGGCCTGCATAACTAGAATAGGGTTTTGGGCAAATATGAAGACAGAAAGCCTGGGACCATAAAGGGTAGTTCTCTAGATTAGGGAGAGTTCGGGGATCCCCTTCTTATAGGGATGCCGTACTATCTTGCGGACCCAAAAAGGGACCCCTAAGTTAGAGAACTACCCAGAAGGGGATACGAGAAGTACTGTTGATGATCGAAATCCTGCAATACCTTAAGGACCCTAAACTATGGGAATTATAATATAATATTCCTTATTATGGGTAATGCAGGATTTCTATCATCCATCGTAGTTCTTCTCGACCCCCGTGGGTTCCCTTTGTGGTGGCGAAGAGATCATGGGGTTTAGGGTTTAGGCGTTTAGGGGTTTAGGGGTTTAGGAGGGTTTAGGGGTTTAGGGATTTAGGGTTTAGGACACGGCCCAATGAAGGCTTCAAAAGAAAAAACCGTGGCACTGATTCAAGGCCATCTTTCGCGACCTAATATGGGGGCCTGAAGAATCAACATGTATCTTGTTTTTGAAGGCGGTTTAGTATACTCGTTACTAGCGTTAGAATATGGAGCTCTGAGGCTGGAAGGAAAACATTTGTATTCATTTAGGTCCCCATATTTCAGCCATCTGTAAACTGTGCTTCACACGCACGATGCATTTCATGGCAGGGTCGCTCTAGTGGCCAGGAAACCAGAAGCGATGCGAATTTCTTGCAAGACCCTGCTAGGGTTTAGGATGGCTTACAACCTTCCGTTTTTCGGTTCCCTACTATGACTTCTGCTTTATTCGTCCTTAAACTGAACGGTCGGTTATGTGCGGCCTAGGTGGGGATCTGGCTGCCAACGCACCAGGGCTTCGGGCAAGGGGATTGAAGGGGGCACCAGGATTGGTAGCTCGGATCGGTGCACCACGGGTTGACTGCACAATCCGGATTCTCGATGCATCCACCTGCTCCGGATGACATGCTCGTCGTGGTGGTGATGGTGGTGGTGGTGGTGGTGGGGGTGGGGGTGGGGGTGGTCGTGGTGGTCGTAGTGGCAGTGGTGGTTGTGGTGGTGGTAGCGCGCCGCCTGCACCTATAAGAATCCAGCAGCTGGAGGATGTCCCCTTCTGACAAGAAGTTGCGCTGGCCTACATTCCTCATTTGCGCGGAAGGAATTGTCTCGTAGATTTGAGATCCGAATAGCATCGGATGGAAGTGCATGATACTGTCGAAGTCATAGGGTGCATAACCAGCCCACGGATTCCGGGTAGCGGACCCGGTGTAGGCATCCTCGACCGGATCGAAGATATAAGGCCGCCAATTGGTGGGAACGTTGTCCCAAAAGACTTGGAGGTGAGGCCCGTGACCCGAATAACTTCGGGCTGCATCGGGCCTTTTTTGCTCGTCCAGCATGCCAAGAACGTGGCCAAGGTTGTGGAGAATTTCGCCCATGTGCTTCAGGTTCATGCAGGAACCGAGGTTGAACCTGCCTCCGTTCCAATAACTAGAATACCCAGCCCTTGCATTACAAGACATGGAGTCGTAATTTCCAACTCGAAGCTTTGCTCCGGTAAAGCTGCGCTCAACTTCCACGAACCGAACGCAGGTCCACCGATGATACATGGCTGTGGCCTCCCGGAAAGCTTCTTTGCGAGTCTGGTCCGTGCCGACCTCAAAGTAGTAATGTACCTTTTTGCGCAAGAAGCTGTTTAATGGTTAGGATCCTGTAATTGGAGACTGAGGCACTGTAACCACAGTCCAACCAATCCCTATAAACCCTATAAACCCGAATCCCTATCAACCCTTATCCCTAAACGACCCTAAGCCCTGAATCCCTAAAAACCCTTCTAAGCCCTGAGGAACCCCAAACAAAAATCTAGGTAATTGCCCTAAACCCAAAACCCCAAAAACCCCAAACCCTAAACCCTAAACCTAAAACCCCTAAACCCCAAACCCAATTATTTAGGCTTCTACATTGGGACCCTTCGGGTCTAGCTGCGAACGCCACTTCCTCCCATTCGCCGGAGGTGTTCGAACTTCTTAGCCTCCAGTTTGTAACCGCTCCACAGCTCCCGTAACCTTACTGGTGGGCTTAGGGCCTTTAGGGCCTTTAGGGTTGAGGGCCTTTTGGGCCGTTGGGGTTTAGGGCTTAGGGCCTTTAGAGTTTAGGACCTCTAGGGTTTACGGTTTGGGGCTTAGGGTTTAGGGCCTTTAGGGCCGCTAGGGTTTAGGGCTTAGGGCCTTTAGGGCTTTGGGGCTTTTTGTTTAGGGTTTGGGGCAGGTCGTTGTCGGGACCACTACAAGGCATACCTGGAAGGGACTACCACAATTAAGGGACCAGGCTAAGGCTTCGATCTTCCTCTCCTTCTTAATAGGAGTTAGGATTAGTAGTAATAGTAATAGTAATAGTAATAGTAATAGTAATAGTAATAGTAATAGTAATAGTAATAGTAATAGTAATAGTAATAGTAATAGTAATAGTAATAGTAATAGTAATTCTTTGTCTAAGTCATATCTATTCATATCTACTGAAGGGATTTTTGGGGATATAGACCCTCTCAATGAGGTCCCTTTTAAGAGAGCCACAAGCAGGGACCAAGTAGGGTTCAGAAGGGTCCCCTTTAAGGGGTCTCTCTAGTCGGACCTAGGACTTAAGCACCAGTAAGTAGCCGTCGCAAGGCCGCAGAAAGCCCGGCGGCCGATAATCCGATGTTACCAATGAAGGTGCCGTGGCCGAAGGGGACGCCAGATCTGGATCGGGACTGCTTTCCTTTGGGACATCTTTGGTTCCCCCAGACACCTCGATTTTGTCATGGGTGCTGCTAAGATACTCCCTCCACTTCCACTTCGTGATCATGTTCATGATGTTTCATGTCTAGTCTAACAGTGCCAACACTTATCCTAGCTATCATAGCATCATTGGCTAAAGGGTGCTGTGCTAATGTAGGGGCCTTAATAATTAGAATAGGGTTTTAGGGGCTCCGTACTACAATTATAGTATATTATAACCCCCCCAAACCCTATTCGAATTATTAAGGCCCCTATATTATGCCCAGACACGATGGAATCCATGTAGCTGATATCCTGCGCGCTGAGTTGCAAGTGCGTCGGCGGCACACCAAAACTCGGGAAGGGGCCACGCAAGCGATAGACACGCATTGGGCAACTCTCTCTGTGCTCTGTCCTGCTTTTTGGGGTTTAGGGGTTTAGGGTTTAAGGTTTAGGGTTTCATCCCGAATTGTTGACTGTTGTTGAAAGGGCTAAGGCTGCTCCAGACCATACTGCGTTTCCCGTGTGTGGCAAGGCCATGAACAACAATGCCGATGATACAACTATAGTCATCATGGAATCAGATGGGGTTGCGAACGAGTGGCGCAGTAAGGCCACGATGACGAAAGGGCCGGCAGCAGCCATATAAATGCAAAAGATAGATAGATCGATAGATCGATAGATAGATAGATAGATAGATAGATACATAGCTAGATAGATAGACAAGCCGACAGATAGATGTATAGATAGGTAGAAAGATAGTTAAACAGAGAGCGAGAGAGAGAGAGGCAAATGGATAGCTAGATAGACACATAGATAGATAGATAGATAGATAGATAGACAGATAGATAGATAGATAGGTGGATAGATAGAAAAGCAGACAAATATATGGATAGATAGATAGACAAATCGATAGATAGATAGCTAGACAGAGAGAAAAGATACATAGATAGATAGATAGATAGATAGATAAATAGATAGATACCTAGACAGACAGACAGACAGACAGACAGACAGACAGACAGACAGACAGAGAGACAGAGAGACAGACAGATAGACAGACATATAGATAGATAATGCATAGATAGAAAGATCGATAGATAGATAAATAGATAGATGGATGGATAGAAAGATAAATAGACAAGTAGATAAATAAACAGATACGTAGATAGCTAGATAGATAGGTAGATAAATAGATAGATGGATAGAAAAATAGCAAGATAGACGGAGAGATCGACAGATAGATAGATAGACACATAGATAGACAGGTGGATAGATACACGGGTAGACAGGTATATCTATATAAATATATTATACATGCATGCATACATTCGTACATACATACAGACATACATACATACATACATACAACCTAGCTAGTAGAACCCGGTCTGTCCTGCATTCCGACATGGGCTCACTGGGCAGTAGAAGTCCGGGTCTCGGATCGCCTCCCATCCAAACGGCCTTTAGGAGGAACTGAACCCTAAAAGGGTTCGGTTTAGGGCTCAGGGCTTAGGGTTTATAGGGCTTAGGGCTTAAGGCTTTGGGTTTCGGGTTTAGCTTTTCGTTTCGGGCGAAAATCGACATGAAACCCTCAAATTCATATAATATATAGGGACTAATACGGGCTTGAGGTGCTTTTGCCATCTTGGAGGTGGCAAAAACAATATAAGGGTATAGGGTTCCTACTCGTAGGGATTCATAGTACGTTGACGATTGTTGAACATGCGCATTTTGTAAATACCTAAGGCGATATTTTATACCACCTCCGTTCTACTCGGTCCGGGCCGCCAAGCCCATTTTAATCAAGCCGGTCCCCCTCCCCCCCACCCCTCCACCCACCGCCCCACCCAGGCTCCACTCCCACCACTCTTCACCCTCCTCCACCCCTCACCCTGCGCACTCCACTTCCCCCCTCCACCCGTTGTGGGTGGTAGTTTTTGGTTGGAGCACAACACATTTGGGGGTGTAGACCCTCGCCCGGGGGCTGCCAATCGAGCTATCCCAAGCTTAAGGTTTTTTGTATTGAAAGGTTTTAGGATTGGTCTCAACAGTGGAGGGTGGTTCGGGCGCTGATGCTGCTGATGGACAGGGGTGAGGGGGGTGGAGGGGTGGGGTGGGTGGGAAGGGGGAGTGGGTGTGGAGGGGTGGAGGGTTGGAGGGATGGAAGGGTGGAGGGGCGTGGGGTGGAGCTTATTTTTAAAAAATACGATTGAAAACAGCACTTTTGTGCCACCTCTGTGGCTCCAGAGGCTTGGCCGCCCTCCACTTATTCATAGTATAACCCTGAACCCCAAACCCTACCCTGCTTAGTAACTTATAGGGCTCATTTGGTCCCCAAGGGGCTCGGTTCAGCCGCGAAGCGCCGCAACGACACTCCTCGAGTTCGTTGGGGCTGATACGGTTGATGATATAAATCCTGCATGACCCATAAAACGGAATATATACCAGAAGTCCCATAGTTTAGGGTCCTGAAGGTAATACAGGATTCATATTATCAACCGTAGGGTTTACCCATAGGCTCCTTAGTAGTTCCTTTTGGGATTACCTTGTAGGATTTTGAATATGAACCACAGAAAGGAACTACTTACGAGCCTATGGGTGCGGATGTTTTGAGGGCTTCGGGGAGTTTAGGGGGCTATAGGGTTTAGGGGTGTTTAGGGTGTTAGGATTCGGAAAAAAATGTTGCGTGCGATCGAGACTGCTGGTTTGTACCTGTTCGAGATGTTCGTTTGTATAGCTTCAGTGCCAGTTTGGGGACGAAACTGCCCCTAAACCCTAAACAGAAAGATGTCGGGTTCAGGGTTTGGCAACAGCTTCGAGCCCATTTGATGAAGGGTGCCTCCAAAACCTTGAAGATTCCCAGCTTAATACAGGGGGCCACAATAATTGGAACAGGGTTTTGGGGCCCTGTTATTACTTGGAACAGGGTTTTGGGGCCCTTTATACTATACTTATAATGAGACAAACCCCCAAAGTAGTATGAGTAGTTATTTAAGCCCTTATCTTAGAGGTCTGGGCTTCGGCTTAAGGGTTTGAGAGTGAAGACAGTCGGTATAGACAGTAGCAGCGGCAATATGAACCATCATATAAATCGTGCGGTATAGATTTGGCATGCCAATGCTAACCCTAAACCCTAAATCAGGGACAGTGCCACTCCTTGCCGCCCACAATGCCAGACAAATCGAGCCCTTTGCTCGTGCAGAAGCTCTGGCAAAGCGACGTGTCGAGGTCCTGCGATCGCATACCTTACGTGCCGAGTTTTCAAACCCCAACAAGTTAACAAGTTCAAACTTTCGGTTCAAAAAGGGATAAAGGAATCCCCCAAAGTGTAAAATATACGAATTCAGTCACCAAGATACTATAAAACGGCAAGCCACTGCGACAGGGGCTCGGCGAGTCCCAGTGGACACAGCTGTCATTGTAAGCATCAAGGCTTTCGTGGAGATCATCATCACTGAGGGGAAAGCAACCGAGGCATTCAGCGAAGTCCTGCTGGACATCTTCAGATGCATCAGATGTCAGGCGGGTGCTGAAATCCTTGGCGTGCTGCTCCTCGCAGGCTTTGCTGGCTTCGCTCGCGCAAAGCATCGTGCTACAGTCACACGCTTTTGTGTCAGCAGGTCTTTGCAAGCATTCACACTCCGTATCTTCAGCTGGCCCATCGTGCATCGTTCGACAATGCACACTGCGCCGCTGCAGCGGCACACTGCACTCCACGACGCAGTCTCCGAATGGGCCAGTTGCCCACGACACTGGAGCCGTCTTGCTCTGGGTTACACCCTGCCGACTTTGGACCTGCAAATAGACTGCACCCTTCGTAGTCGAGTTACGACAAGTCGCCTCTGCCCAGGCAGCTCGAACGAACACGACAAGCAGGAGGACTACTGCCGAACGCAATGCCATGGTGGCGCAAGCATAAACAGGAGGGAGGATGATGCAGGGCCTCTACTTAGCATGTTAAACAGTATTATATGTATATACATATACATACAGACATACATACATACATGCATACATACATGCATACATACATGCATACATACATGCATACATACATATATTCATATTCCGAAGGAGAGCCATCATCAAAGCAATCAGTGTTTCACTGAAACGAGCATGTGATTTGAAGTGTTGCACCCTTTCCTTGCACTGCTGGCATGATCCCAAAACGTGTGTTAAACCGTATAAATCCCTAAACCCTAAACCCCTAAACCCGTATAAACTTTCAACTGCCCTAAACCCGCGGGCCTTCACCCTCAAGCCCTGCACCCTCACCCTAAACCCTATAATGTCGCTATAGGGGCCTTAAGAATTAGAATAGGGTTTTGGGGGTTCCTTATTATCATTACATTACAATAGACCCCTGAAGCCCTAGTCTAATTATTAAGGCTCCTATATTTCACCCTAAACATCAAGAGCTAACTCTAACCCATTAGACGCTAAAGGCCAAAAAACCCAAAAACAAGCCCCCAATCGAACGACTCGCTCTCCCTGAAAGTCCATGTACTCATATAGTTCTTTTGAAGTACCCATAACTGGAATTACTTTGAGGCCCAAAATAGGGGCCTCAATAGTTAGAATAGGGTTTTGCATGGTGTATATTTTACTAGAAGTTTTCTCAGGAACCCACAAAGAGACCCTAAGCCTTGTTTTAAGTATCTACTATAAATACGCACATGGATTCTTTGGCACTGGGACTCCAGCACCGACAAGATTCCCTATCAACACACAAGGAATCTCTACAAAACCCGGGTCAAAACCCGAACAGAATCCTCCAACACCCTCTGAGAATCTCCCGACCCTCAACTCTAAACCCGAAACCCTAAACCCTGAAGCCGAAACCCTAATCCCTAATCCCTAAACCCTAATCCCTAAAACCTAAACCCCTCAACCATAAACCCTAAACCCTCAACCCTGAACCCTCAACCCTGAACCCTCAACCCCAGGGCTGAACCTAACCGGTACTCTGAGGCCAGGGAACTGACAACTTCGAGTCCGGAGGCAGAGATGGCTCTAAGTTCAGGAAGTCTTCCAAAGTCTCCTCATTTGGGCGGCATTGGGGTTTATGGTTTTAGGGTTTATAGAGTTTAGAGTTTTTGGGTTTTACAGTTTCGGTTTTAGGGCTTAGATTTAGGGTTTATAGGGCTTATTGGACATGTAGGGTTTGTGGTTTAGGGTTTAGTCTCCTCGTTTTTCTTTCTTTTTTTTTGGGGGGGGGGGAGGCATTGCTAGGGGCCCCAAACGAGGGATGGGTGTAACCACAGGAAGGAACACGAGCGAGAACCACAACAANNGAAATGTAGGATCTCTGTACTCCCCCGCGCCCGTGCCCTCCAGCTCCTGGACGCCAGAGAGGCCAGAGCACGGGCGCGGGGGAGTACGATTTTCGAGACGTTCAAGGCCCAAAAAATGCCGAAAGCTGTACTCCCCCACGCCCGTGGCCTCCAGCTCCCTGGACATCCTGGACGCCAGAGAGGCCAGAGCACGGGCGGGAGAGTACGATTTTCGAGACTTTCAAGGTTCAAAATGCCGAAATCTGTCCTCCCCCGCGCCCGTGCCCCCTTGCCCCCTGGACCCCCACAGAGGCCAGAGCACGGGCGCGGGAGAGTACGATTTTCGAGATGTTCAAGGCCCCAAAAAATGCCGAAAGCTGTACTCCCCCACGCCCGTCCCCCCACTGGGGAGAGTACGATTTTCGAGACTTTCAAGGCTCAAAATGCCGAAATCTGACTCCCCCGCGCCCGTGCCCTCCCGCGCCCTGGACCCCAGAGAGGCCATGAGGTTACCACATAATCTTTTTGATGTTCTTGCAGATGCTTGTTGATGTTCTCGGATCTTTGTTGAGGTTTCAACCCTCTCTCGGCCCCAAACAGGACACAAACAGAAGCATTTTACAAGGACATCCCTCCCTTGCTGAGCTTCACTACAAGGGAATTTATACAGGATATCACCATGCTAATGCTCGTTTTGGGGGCCCTAGTTGGGGCCTTGTAAGATCTCGACCCTCTCTGTCTTTGCAGCGGTTTGAATGAAGTGTGTATTGCTTTTGGCTGCCTATACTGTCGTCCTAAATTTCCTTCGCACGTGAGCCCGGAGGGTATCAGAGTTCAGGCTCGACGGTTTAGGATCTAAGGAAGTATTTCCTAAAGCCATCGGTACCTTTACCTCGTACGGACTACTCGGAAAGGGCAAGAATGCTACCTTACCGGTATTATTTGGCAATAGAGCCTTGTATTTGTCCGATGATTTCCACATCAATTTGCATGCGAGCCTCGCGTGTTGCCTTTCCCGATCATCTCTGGTTTAAATAGTTAAGACAAGGTGTGTCCGTGACTTCAAGCCCTGCAATATGCCAGAGGTCGCGCAATGGATCCACTATCGAATATAGAAAGGGTAAGCGTGCATGACTGGGGCGAAGTTTCGGGTTGTATAGGTCTGACACCCGTAATCCTATGCCCGCACCCAGCCGGATTCCTAAAGCCCCACGATCCTTACATAGCGGGGCATGATCGTTTGTTTGGTTAAGAGGGACTATACTGGGGATCTCATTCCCAACTTCTTCAGACCCGTACATATAACCCTTAAACCCTAAACCCTAATGTTGGAGAATCATCAAGTCCTCCTGTCGATGAATAAAGACTTGAACAGCTAGTAAACTATTCCTTGGGGTTCCATTTTGCACTTGTACGAATGCGCATACTGTAATATTACAGTAATTACCCCGGGTTCTTTATCACGAACTATTGCATACCACAAGACCTGTTGAAATTTTCAAGGCCCCCAAGCCCTAAACCCTAAACCCTGGCCTTAAACCCTCAACCCAAGAAATCCTAAACCCTGAAATCGCCAAGAGGCGCAACGGGAGGCAGGGGAAGGATTTTCTTCCTCGGCTTCTGTGAACTCCTTCGACAAACTTCGCAGAGTAAGGATTTAGAGTTTCGGGTGTTGGGTTTAAAAGTTTAGGGTTTAGGGGGTCACACGTTGGTATTGGCCCGCGTGGTTTCGCGACATCTCTGTTTGGGCTGGTTCTCGAAAGTGCTGGTATTTGCAAGACTTTTGTGGTTTGGAGTCAAGATTGGGGTTTATGTTTGCAGGCTCCAATCAGGTACCTAAATGTTAGGGCGCGTTTTTCAGCACACTCGGCTCAAGTGCGTGGCGAAGGCGTGTGTGTTGTGTATTGTTTCTTTGTTGTGTGTGTGTTGTGTCTGTGTGTGTGTTGTGTTTGTGGTGTGCTTGTGTGTGTTGTGTGTGTGTGTGTGTGAATGTTTCTCTGTGTGTGTGTGTGTGTTTTGTTGCTGTTGTTGTTGCTGTCACTGTCGCTGTCGTTGTTGTTGCTGTCGTTGTCGTTGTCGTTGTCGTTGTCGTTGTCGTTGTCGGTGTCGTTGTCGTTGTCGTTGTCGTTGTGGTTGTTGTTGTTGTTGTTATTGTTGTTGTTGTTCTGTGTGTGTGTGTGTTGTGTGTGTGTTGTGTGTGTGTATTGTGTGTGTGTGTTGTGTGTGTGTGTGTGTTGTGTGTGTTCTGTGTGTTGCGTGTTGTGTGTGTTGACAATGTCGTCTTCGGTCAGGACGAGCCAACGAGACACATAGGGAACTCCCCTTAGGGTTTAGGGTTGTTCAACACCCATGTCCTTTCAGGGTTTAGGGTTTTTCCAACACCCAACTCCTTCTAGGGTTCAGGGTTTTTTCAACACCCAGCTCCTTTCAGGGTTTGTTTAGGGTTGTTCAACAAGGGGGCCAGGGGACCAGAAGACCAGGCAACCTTGGCCAACCCTCCTGAGCCCTTTAACAAACCGGGCCCATCCTCGTCACAAATAGACTCGCAGCAATCTTTTCATATCACGGCAACGATGTGATCTCTATCCCAGGCATCGCACCAGGCAGCGGCACAGTAGGCCCCTCACAGCACTTCGCAGATCACATGGCAGCTACCAGTCTGAGCGTTTCTTGCTCCCACCTGGGCCGCTGTTGAAGCTGGCCAAGAAGGACAGCCTGGCGAGATTCGACATACCATGCACCCCGTGTGGCAAAAACAAGCGCAAGAACCAGTCACAGGACGTCTCGCCTCTTCCTCGTCATCGTCCGCCTCCTTCTCCTCCTCCTCCACTTCGAGGACGCCTGCAGTCAAACCAGCTCTGCAGAAGTGGCTGCGACGCTCCCGCAAATCTCAAGTCGCACAACTTCCGATAAGTCGAGAGCAACTGCATCAAAAGTCAGAGCACGCACACAGATATACACACACAAACAGACAGGCACGCGCACACACAGAGACACACACACACACGGAGAATCATGGTTGGCCAGCAGACCTCATGATTAGATCCATTGACCAACTAGGTCCCCAAGTTTCGTTGGCCCGCGAGACTGCGATGTTCACGTCAATGCCCGTGGCGACGAATCCTGCAAGGGGTCTGCAAGGGGTCAAGCTAGCTAGTTTCGAATGTCCCAGCAAGGCATTCCGCAATTAGAACCCCAAAGTCTGCGGCCAGCACGGGGACGAACCGGTTCTTTAAGAGTATTGAACCCCAAGCGGAATGCTGTTTTGGAACAAACACAAGGGAAAGGAAAGGCAAAGCAAAGAAACAACTGGCCCACGAGGCTATCAAAACTCTTGGCAGGCTACTTACAGGAGCACCCAACCGATCCGCAACCGAGGCCGGCGAAATCCCAGCTGACCAGGAAAGAGCCCCCACAAGATCCACGGAGCAAAAGCCCAGCAGGCTACTGGATGGATACAGTGAATGGCTTTAGTCACATCAGTTTCTGTCAAATCACAGATCTTCCTGGGGACGCATGGCCACATCAGGGTCACATCAGGGTCACATCAAGACTGCTTTTCCCCAAGTAGATGCCGCTTCAGCAAGAACGTATTCAATCACCAAAATTCCACGTCAACAACCAGCGTTCCCCAAGTTCGTGAAAGACATCTTCATCAATGCCACGTCGCGCTTCAAGACTGTCACTCCACAAGTAGACGCTGGAATGCGGTAGCACCCGATCCCGATACAAATGACCTTTGAAATTCAACCGCTCCCCGAAGTAGATTCTCACCTCCACAAGCACCCGAACAGTGGGTGTGCAAAAGTGGGCCGCTGAGTGTTTTCTGCAAATCGGGCTGTATTTGAGGCAGACTGTTGATTTAAACCAAGCCCTTCCCTGAGGCCAACCACAAGTCTGCTTCAAGTCGGGCTGTATTTGAGGCAGACTTGTGTTCCGCGAGATGACGGTGGGAAGGGTGAGCTAACCAGCAGTACACCTCAAATCAGGCTGAATTTGACGGAAAAGGAAAGTTGGCGCGGCCGACTGCAGCCACAGGTCTGCCTCAAAAGGGAGTTCGGATTGAGGCAGACTTGTGGCTGGGGCGAGCATGGGGCGGCAGGGACCCATGGTGCAGCTCTGGCTGCAACCACAAGTCTGCCTCGGAGTGAATGAGGAAGACTTGGTAGGGCGTGGCTCTGACTCTAGCCATATAAGGAGGGAGGAGGGGGTTTGGGGATGCCACTTGCCCCACTTGCCCTGCTTGCCCCGGCTTGCTGCTTTGAAACAAACAATATAATCTCAAATGTCGAAAAAGCCAGCGAACACAAAACCCCAAGTAGACCCATTGAGGACAACAACAGCCAAAATCCAACAAACACAAATCCCCGAATAGTTGCTGGTTGTGTGTATATATAATATATATATATATGTATATGCCTCAAACATGGGAAAAATCGGCGAACACGAAACCCCAACTAGACGCACGTTGATGCGACCCGTCCGGAATTTTGCCCCCCATTGTCCGGCTGCGATGCGGCTAAAGCCCGTCACTGTGGCCCTCATACATCCAAAACCGAGCCTGCCCCAGCATCGGAATCATCGGAGGAATCCTTTCGCTGGCATCAATGCACGAAGAGCAGTTCACTGTGAACATAAGATGTTTCTGTCCTCGCTGCTGTCTTCCTTAACCTCCTTAATGTCATCGGATACCTTCCGCACAAACACCCCTGCCAGCATGCACACTACAAAGACTCAAGAATACACATACCTTTACTCCTCCTCCTCCTCCATGTCCTCCTTCGTCATCGGCACCGACCACCTTGCAAACAACCAGCCCTACCAGCAGACACGCTAACAACACAGTCAAGAACAAACATACCTTTACTCTGCCATCTCCTGTGCCAAGGTCTCCTCACGGCTGGGTGTGGAGCACGCGCAAGCACAAATGGTTTAGAGAAGCACTCATGTCGTGTCCCAGCGGCGTCATCCTCCTGGAGAAGACAAGCAGATTTGCCAGAATAGAGGGCTGCAGGAAACTCGCTAGCGCTAGCCATGGGAGTGCCGGAAACCTCCAAATGCTTTCCCGTCCCCCGTTTTCCCGTCCACCCTTTTCCCGTCCCCCTCCCGCTCCCCTCGCTCCGGACCTCCATGGAGGCCACCAGTCGTGTCGAGGCATCGTCGCGGGCTTCGGTCTGGGCTCAGGGCTTTCGGGGATAGGACATTTGGGGTGTGAGGGGCTGCGCTTCTCCCTTGCAACACCATGATCCTCGCACCCTCGGTACCAGTACCTTGTCCTTGCGGATCCTGGCAGCCTGCGCGGCTGCCTCTTGGAGCCGCCTTGGAAACAAACCGAAGCAAGCCTGTATACGCATGTGTATATGCGCCCATGCATGATCAAAGAAATGATTAAATGCCGAACGATCTTTTGAATGGAAAAATCGCAACACCCAATTATGTTGCACTTCTGTTTTTCGCAGTTCGGGCACTGCAAAGTCATCAGAAGGCGAGCAGTGGAGCCGTGAGGCCAGCGTAGAAAAATCGCGAAAGCGAACAACAGCATAAATGTTATAGAAAGCCGTCAAGCGAAAATAAGCGAAACAGAAACGACGGCAAAAATCTTGAGCAAAAGGGTGGGCAAAAAGCGACGAGTTGTAGCATCTTGCTGGAAGACTGAAGACTGCAAAATCCTGTAAATAACTGCGATGTTTGGATTTTTCGGAGGATCACCGGTACGTCTGCAACACTTCTGAAAGTATGACACGCCAAATCTCCCGGGGCCAACATGTGGCGAAAGAAAAAACCACAAACCACAACCAACAAGCCCCAACACTGACACAAAAAAATCCAGAAAAGCTTTTTAAGCTCTGAGCTTGAAGCTGAAGCCCGAGAAACTGATTTCCGGGGGGAGCCCACCCCAAAAAAAAACCAGTCGTTTGTGGTGCTTGCTTCTTTGTATGTTTGTTGGGCAGCTTGGCTCTTCAAACAGATTTTGGGTGTTGCTTTTTTGCAATTGGTGCTTGTTGGTTGCTTTGTGCGTGTTGGGTATTGTTTGTGTTTTGTTTACGCATTTAAATTTTATGCACTTATGCACTTCGGATAGCTGGTAAGAGTAACTCTGGCCTCAGGATTCTTGACATAAGTGAAACGGACGTATGGCGATCCTCGGACAACACATTCTCGCAGGTATTTGCCGTGCTGTCTGGCGAGATGTCTGCAACGTGCATGGGAAACGGGAAACCCCCAAAGGCGCGAGAGTCGTGCCCAAGTGGATGTGGGCCGCTGGGTGGGGGCCGCAGGGGCCTGTCCATTTATACCTGCATGCGTATGTTTATTCGTATCTATCTCCATTTGCATTCACAGGCGATGGTGTAAGTGGATATATAAAGGGGCTCAATATATTAAGCCACCCACCCGAAGTTCGGGGCTGATAAGTAAGATCAACCAGCATGCGGAAGTAAGGTTTACGCTTCCGGCGCGAGGCCGGGCTCGGAGTGAGCGAGTTGCCTGCGCGCACAGAAGTAGCACATCGTCGGGGCAATGCAGCAGCGAACAGCGGAGAGCACCTCGGTGCCGTGGCTGTGGCCTCCGGCCAGTGCAGATTGAGGTTGAAATGACTCTGGGCTTGTCGAGGCTTTGGCAGTACTGTGGCCAGCCGAAGACGGTTGCGCCGCTGGACCCAGCATGGGTCGTCCATGGCTCGGCACAAACCCTCAACCCCCAACCCCTACAACCCTATGTCCCAATCTAAAAATCCTACTGCGCCCAGAACTTCCGCAGCTAAGCTATGAGGCGTGGCAGTGGCAGTGGCAGTGGCAGTACCAGTAAGGAAGTCGAGCAAAGTCTACGAAAAGTAGAATAGAACTGAAGCAGAGATGCTCTCATTTATCCTCATTGAGCTCCAGTATGCCATCCTCCATTTTTCCAGGAGGTCCAGGTGGCCAAACTTCACGACAACACTTTGAGATCATTGCCACATATGCTATAAGTTCCATGGAGGAGACTGCACACGGAGAACGCCCGAGATAAGGCTATTGGGAAGCGCTGAGAGAAAGAAAAGGTCTTTCAAGTCAACTCCTTCTGTCGCTCCCCCGCCCCACCCCACTGCGTGTCCTGACAGGGGCACATGACAGAATTATCACTGAAAGTAGCAAAGTCTTAGGAAGAGCACATGGCCCGATACGCGCGTGTGCGGGTTTAGGGCTTAGGGTTTAAGTCAATAAGTAGAAATAACAAGGAACTCCACAATCCCTAAAGTACTCCTACGGTAGCTATTCAGTCCTCTTTTTGTATCCGTTGTAAACTTTCTTTATGAGGCTTGGGTCTAACTCAGGCGGCTCAAATATAGTGGGGGAATATCAGTTTGTTTATGCATAGGGACTGGAGGAGAATCCATTACTGACTATGCCCACTGCCATAACAGGCAGAAGACTGCCAACAACTTAGACTTAAAGTCAAACCCTAGCGGCCGGGGCCTCATCCGACCCATTCCAGGCCTCATAACTCAAACCCTCTTCCTCCTCTGTCGCAAGAGCCCCGCCTAAACCCTCAAGCCGAAAGAACTCGTGGTTGACCGTCGAACGCTGTGAAAAATTGTGGCTGGTGCTTCAGGTCTCTTCGAATTCTTCGACTCCCAGTTGAAAGCTTCTGAAAGCCAGTCGAGGGCTCATGAAGTTTAGGCTTTACAGTTGCGAAAACTTATTTGGGTCTTAGTCTAGGTACGTTGTAATGTGGTGGAGACTGGCGTGTAGGCCATCCTGAATTCACCGAGTTCAGATTTCAGGCTCAGAATGTGCAGGGTTTCGGAATGGGGGATTCTTGGACCTATGATTCTATGATGCTTCGAGGTAGGAGTGAGATTGGGCTCAGGATTTGCAATCCCAAAGGCCCAAAGGGTCTTAAATGCCTGCATGGTATGGTTTCTATATCAGGAATTGATTCTATGGTTTGGTAACGAATCCCCCATACAAGAATTTAGGATCCTGTGGGGATCCGGGGAGATCCTGAAAAGACGCAAGATCACGGCACTGGAGATGTTGCCCGCGTCGGGCATCTCGAAACGAATGCCTAAACCAAGATAGGTCTCAGAAGTCCTCGTCCGTCGTCTCGCTGACCGACACGATTCCGTCTGCACTGACCTGCCGCGAGTGGGAGAAGCAGATTTCGCTAGGCTTAAGCTTTCGGCTCCTGCATCAAACTCTGTAAAGTTCTGGCCGGTCTTTTGGGCATTGGTGGCTTGGGCCTTCCAGCTGTCGAGGTTTGCTTGGGCTCAGGGTTTAGAGTGTGTGGGGCTACTTCGATGGCATTTTACCCCAAGACCTAAACCCTAAACCTAGCTGGGACTCTCACTACCTACAGTTTTATGGGTTCTACCTACTAACCAGGGGGTCATGGCTGCTAAACTGTAGGTGAAGAGAGTTACGGAAGAGAGTTACGGGTTAATTTTGGATCCCCCCCCAGCGCCCTTCGCGCTGCGATGCCTTGCAGCGAGCTACACAGAAGCCCTTTTCGTTGAGGAAGACGCCCTCCCTCGGCATGCCTTTCTTGAAGCTACCTCGGGACTGGTGATTATCAAACTTTTCGAGGTTCGCCGTTTAAAGCCTCTGAACAAATATTCGTTTAGATGATCCTCTTAAGCCCAAGGAAGGAAAATACTAAATTATACCAAGGGCCTATGTAATTGATGGGAGTCGGCACACTGGGGTCATAACCTAGGCCCACGTCCGGGTCACAAGTGCAAGAGGATTCTGCCTAAACCCTAAACCCTAAACCCAGAAGTATGCTATGTAGTCATATATGTATAAAAGGACTGCAAGGGGATACTCGTACTGACTATGCTGGTATGATAGTGATATCGAATGGGAACAGTCGAGAAGCATAAATCCTAAATCCTAAACCCCTAAACCGCTATATTTTGGACAGCCGCCCGAAAAAGCAAACAAACAGTCTGCGACCTCCGACCCGGTACTACTGGCCAAAGCCAGGGACTTGGCCAGCAACAAATCAATATGATGGCCTGAACTATTAGTATAGTATAATTTGCTTTGTTTGGATAATTACATGGTTAACACCGCATACCCCAAGACCCGAACTACATTAAAACTAAAATCCACATACGATGACGCCTCAATGTTGGGCCAAGATGGTCGAGCATGATCTTAAGGGAACCTTTGATGGCAACCCTCAAAGGGAACCTCTGTAGGAACCCTCAACGGAAACCTGATTATTATACGTCAAGGTGGCCGATGAAGGCTTCATAGTTGGTGCTGCTCCAAAAGAGTCGTCCTGTGCTTTCAAGCTCACAATTTAGGGCTTATGAGCTTCAGGGAAGAGAGAAGAACAGGATCTGCCCTAAACCCTAAACCCTAAACCGAAACCCCTAAACTCCTAAACCCTAAACCCCCAAACCCTAAACCCTATCTGCAACCTTCCCTGGATAACTTGTCACCAGATGCTCAAGAGAGAAAGAGCGGATGCTCAGTACTGGATCTCCCAGCTCCCTAGGCTCGACCCTCCCCGAGAACCCCATACGCCTCGATTAAGGAATCTATACCCTAAAGACTTGAATCATATGAACATGCAGGCCCCTATAATTTAAGGTATAGTCCTTAATCAAGGATTTTTTGGCTTCTCTGGGTCATCCCTAACCATCCCTGCTCCTCAGTGTGCGCAGGCCTTCAATTCAAGGCCCACGAGCAGCCTCAAGACAAACAAGAATGAGTACGGATGGATCCATGCGGAGCCAACCCGACACCCCCCATCTGCAACTGTACGTCCAGTCTGCCAACCCTTTTCCCCCTTAAGCCCTAAAGCCCCAGACCCTAACCCAGAAAAGCCGAAAATTCGCCCCAAAAAAAGGACTCAAAGGATCCCTCTAAAGCCACCAAACCGTACCTGTAACTCTCTTTACCTACAGTTTAGCAGCCATATAGCCCGCATTTTCTTAGTAGGTAGAACGGTAGAACCCATAAACCTGCAGGTTGTTAGAGTCGCAGGTAAAGCCAGCGTTCCTCTTCCATGAGGCACTTCCCCTACGAACTCGCCAATGTAGATGGCGCCGCCCGCAGGATCGACCAGCGTATCTTCGTAGACCTGCGGTTGCTTTGCGTCAGTTTGGCTGGGCTGGGTGAGCTGGGGCCCTATGAAAAGGAAGAAGGTTGTAGGGCCGAATAGACGGACCATAGATATAGAAAGGAACCCTTAAATAGTATTGGTTTCGGCCCCTATATAATTTAGGAAATGTAGGGTTTTGGCCACTCCAACGTTCGGAGTTCGCTGTTGAGATCGAGAACAAGGTAGAGAGGCTTCACGAACCTGCCTGTTTGAATGAGGGCGTACATTATGGCACGAGGCCTTTGCTGATGATGCGGGGAACCCGAAGCAGCAACGCACTTGAGACAACAGCTGACGACACGAGTCAGCCAATACCTATGAACAACAACTGAACAACAACTCTCCAAACTACAACTTAATTCATTGATCTAAACCATGAATCCTAACCCCAAACCCTAAACCCTAAATCACCTCTCGACTCAGCCTCAATTTTTTACAACGCTTGGGACGAGGCTCCCGCCTTGCCCTCTAGGATGCTGGTGGCCTCAGTTTCTGGCGAGGGCCCAATCCAAAGCCTGAGAGTCTAAGAAACTGAAACCCTAAACCCTGGGACTTAAATAGGCCCCTGAAGAACCTACCTTTTTCAGGACATTTCTAGGGAAATCAGAATAAGAACTCTGAAACAGTAGGTTTGTATTATATGGAGTCAAGAAGGTAGATGTTAGACCTCAGCCCAGACCAGCTTGAAACCCCAAACCTTCGGCCCTGACCCTGAAACCTTGAGGGCTTAGGGTCTACCTATAGTCTCCATCGTAGTTCGTTCTCGGGGTTACCTTATAGGATCCTGAATAATTATATAATTGGTTAAACCCCCCAAAAATGGAACTAGAATGGAGACTATAGGTAGGGTCAGGACCCAAACCCCAAGCCGTGAACTTCTGGATCTAGGTCGTAGCCTTTTGCACAACTTCGGGAGGGGGGGCTTCAGAGCTGGAGAGGATCGAGTTCGAGGCTCCACGACGACTCTAAGGCTCCTCTGCAAGGGGTTTTGAAGGGTTTTGTCAGGGTGGGTTTTTCTAGTGTTCTTTACGGGTTCTTATGGTTCTTTGTGAGTTTTGGAAGGATTTGAAAGATGCCCAGCGAGACCTGTAAACCCTAAACCCTGTAAACCCTGAACCCTGTAAACCCTGAACCCTATAAACCCTGAACCCTGCAAACCCTAAACCCTATAAACCCTACACCCCATAAACCCTAACCCATAAACTCTATAAGCCCTAAACCCGACAAGCCCTCTAAACCTTAAGCCCTATTGTAAACCCTATATACCAGCAGAGATGCGCAGATGTGTGCAGCTGAATCTATCTTGTTCTATCTGTTCCAGAGGGCATTGGATTCGAGATGCCTGTGTTTTAGCTTGAAGGGTGACTCAAGAATACGGTGTAGTATGCCCTAAACGTTAAAACCCCTGCACACTTAAAACCATAAGCCTTAACCCTCATGCAAAATGAAGCCTTGGATCTGGGATCTGCAGTTCGCGGATCAAAAACACAGGCACGCAATCGGGGAACCCGAAATCGGAAACTCGAAAGAGTGTCGATGGTTTAGGGTTAGGGAGCCCTTAAGTACGTTAAGGCTTGGAATAAA